TTTAAGATACCCTTAGCTGCCTCCCTGGTCACCTACTGACAGTGACGTTGCAGAAGATGACAGTTGATGTACTCTGCAAACAGTGCTACATGCTAGAAAGAGGCAGCCACCGCCTTCCAAAACGGTTTTCAAATACATACATACAATCAAGAGAGTCACTTGTCACAGCCAAAGCAGGTGCACACTTCTGCTCAACCCCCAGGAAGCCACAGTAAGGATTATCACTGTGTAAATCTTTATAGGAAGATCATAAAACATAAGATGAAAAAAAGCTATTAAGTTGTCTAGTCTAGCCACCCATCCACCCCTAAGTGAATGATTTGCACAGGGAAGACCAAAGGTTTAAAATGTGGGGGTTTTAACTAAAAACAGCCATAGAGGCATGTGAAAAAGCACACTGCCAGCATCCAGTTCTTGCTTAGATGCTGCAGTGATGGGAAACAAGGCTACAAATTACTTTCAGAGCTGTAAAGCCCAGTTTACACAGCATTAAAAACACGTCGTGCCTGCAGATAGCTTTTTATGATTTTTAAACACTGGTTGAAAGTGTAAGTGAATATACACAGTTGGCGTGACAGTGTGGTCAAAATGAGCAGCTCCATGCACACGTGTTTCAGGAAGCCTTTGTAAACTAGGGTTGCTACCCGTGGGTTAATTAATTTCACACAGGACGCTTGATGACACCAAGGAGGTTTCCAGACATGTTAAGACAAGGAAAAGCAGGCGCTGTTCCCGAAGCAGGGCCACCACGTGCCAGGAGCAGTGCTGCACGCAGGTGGGATGGGAAAGGGAGCAGAAGCAGAGAGCAGCAGCTCAGCAAACCTCTGCTTGGCTGCTTTGTGTCCGCAGACACCTCCTTATCCTACAGAGGGGAGGTGGTGATGCCCTCTGAGTTTATTTTGCATGCAGGTCCCTCTGCTTGGTCCTCAGAGTCACGGGTCATGATGATGCTCTCCAGGTCTGGGAACAAACTCCCCGGGTGAGCCTGCCTGTGGGGAAAAGCTCACATCCCCTGGTATAAAAATGCATCCCAGAGGAGGCAGCACCCCATGGGCACCCTGGCCTGCAGAGCCCCTCTGCTCTCCTGTGGGGCGAGTGGGGAATCCTCAAACGCCCTGCTTTCATGCACCAGGGAGGTTTAACTTCAAATCACATCGAAGCTGTTGCTTTTCCTGCAGAAATGTTATGTTGACACACATCCTTGTGTTCAGTGTCTCTGCCTGGTAACAGCTCCTGCGGTCCCTGCCCCCAGGACTCTGACGGGAAGGTTTAGCTCGATGCTCCGTTCAAGTGGTCTGCTCCAGATGGGACTTGGCAGACAAAACTTCCTCTGTCAGATAAAGGATTCAGCCTCTCACCATGCGAGAGACCTCCCGAAAGACTCTTTCATGTGGAGCCAAAGAGACTAGAGAGTGTCAGAGTTTTAAAGACAAAATACTGCCGTCAGAAAGGTATACAGGCTTTGTACAGGAGGGACCCTTCACACGTTGGCAGCCTTTGAATTCAGCTTTTAAATAAAAGATTTGTCTTCAGACCGAAAAAATGATGCCTTTTATGAGTAACAAAGTATAAAGCTGGCTTCTTTTTTTTTTTTTTTTTTTTTTTCTAAAATATCATCGTCTTGTGTGACCTCACAGAAGATTTTTTCGAAAGTAGAAAATGTCATTGTCAACTACCTTTACAACTTAAGTCCATTTTTAG